AAATAAAAGACATTAAATGAATTAACTTAAGGGAATATTCAGGGAATGATGAAAATTGAATAAAGTAATAATCAAAAAACAATTGCTGTAAATGGTGCAGGAATTAATTGATTATTCAACAGATAAATTTTGAAACTTGCTAATAATCATTTCAAATATTTTATATAATCGGCAATCCGAGTTACTGCGCTCTTTTACACATGGCAACGAACCCGCCCTCCGACATATAAACACTAACATTGTTTATGTGTTGGTTCCTTATCTTAGAGTTTCCTCGGTACAGATAATATTCTTAGCCGATAATTACCATCACTCATGAACCGGGGTTATACTCCAAGAAAGGGAAGTCATAGTATAGGGCTCAATGAAAGACACTTGTGACTTGTGTACCTGTGTATAATTTTATGCTACAATTTACACTGCAACTGTAGCTGATACAACTATACATACTACTCGAGAAGTAAGATAAAGGTAGGTTGTGTAGGCTGCCTAATGAGTACCTCACGCATGCCCCCTGACGCGCCTACTTGTGCCCTCAATAGGCTGCCTAAGTAGGGCCTCACGAACTAGAGAGGCAACTGACTTTCATTTCTGTTCAGGACACCATATATAAGTCCATATATATACTTACACTTGTGTACAGCTTGAAAGATACAAGTAATCCACGAAACTTAGTATAAATGTGTTGAAGTTAACCTAACCTGTCATTAGTATTTATGTTTTATTGAACAGTGTTTTGTGAGAAATAGATAAATACAAGCAGTACTTATGTTTGTTAAAAGCTCCACACAAGTGCAAGCATGTATATGCACTTGTATATACTGTGTTATCACAGTCTATGGTTTTTATTTATTTTTTATTATTTTTTTTTTTTTCTTGTGGCACATATGATAACACCAAACAAAATTTAAAAATTTATTGCTGTACACTAACATAATACATACTCAAATCACTGATTAATTTAGTTGATTCACTCTTAATAAAATTTGTTCTTAATTTATTGAAATATTTTCCTATAAGACTCCATGAATTCTGGCTATCTCAGCGAGGGACAATTTCTCTTACTCGACAGCGCCGCCTGACATAGGTGCATAGCGAATTGTAAATCCTGATAATAAGAAAAAACCTAGAACTCACTTATTTATGGTTTATTAAGAACACATCAACAATCTTGTCTACTTTAACAGTTTTGGAAATCTGCAGTCACCTATTCACTCAATGTTTTATCTTAAATTTAGTTAAATAAAATATAATCATAAGCGATATCAAAAATTAAACTCCCATAACTGCGATCATTTATCTTTAAAGTTTCTTTTAAAACAAGTATAACTTTCTTACATAAGGAAAAATCACTTGGTAACACTTTGACATCCATAGAAAAAACAGGAACATTTAGCGTGTCTGGTTTTTTTTCTGTTTCAAAAGCACCATATTTTCCACTGATTGCATTATTGCCAAAACACAGCTAAGTTCTTGGCTTGGTATAACTTGCGACAAAGTCATAGTGTCAAGTACACGCACGCAGAGGCCTGGCTGTGATAAATCCCTAAGCTTTATGTGTGCGTGTCTGTGTGCGTGCTCGGCCTGATCGGGCAATGTCTCTCAGGCCATACATCGGGCGCACGCGCGCGTGCTTGGTGAGTGGCGCTGTTATGACTCAGGCATGAGAGGTGTGGCTTGTTGGTGGTGGTGGTGGATAGAGGTTACTGGTGTCTAACTAACCAATCAGCCATCGTTGATCGACGGTAGGCAATCGATCAAGGGTTGTTGGTTAAGACTTATCCGAGGTATCAAGCAGAAAAAGGTAGCTGGGCTAGTCAGTATCAGATTTGAGTTTCTTGCGTGGTTGTTTGTATCTTTTTCTTGGCTAGCACGAACGAAAGAAAATTCACCACGTGTGCTCATAAAATTTATGTGGCTTGCAACTTCGGCTTTATTTTTTCGTGGATCGTGTTGACCAGGAAATGGATTTCTGGGTCTTGGTTGGCTGGGTGTGATCAGTGGCTGTAAGGGTTAAAAGGAGACCAGAGCTGGAGCCAACATTGAGTAACAGGAGTTTTAAAAAACTAAAAAGTCGTAAGCACAAGGGTGAGTACGGTTTGTCTATATGGGCAGTGGTAATAGTGTGCGCAAAGTGCGTGAGACAGCGAGGACGACACGTTTTTGGGTTCCACACTAGTGGCTATCTGGGGCCGGCAGCTGCACAGCTGTATCCATAGCGTTGTACTCAGTGTAATTGTGTGTATATGCCAAGCTGGCCAGGTACAACGTTACAATCTTTTCTCATTCAACTCAATCTTGAATATTAATAAAAACTGCAATAAATTTTATGTCAGCGATCAAGTAACCATATTATCAACAAGCTATTATAAGATCGAAGACATTACATGATTCTTAACCGAGGTGTTACAAACTTGCAACATAATTCCTGATATTAAGCTGCAGAATAATACGCTTCAAAGTGTTATTACGTGCAGTCATACCATTGACTTCAAACCTAAAGATTCTATAGGATGTCTATTACGTTTTACTCAGCGAGCTCTAAAAAATAACACCACATATATTTTAAACTTACCTGTAGCCAGTCTAAAGATAAACGCATTAAGAGTTTAATGTAATGTTACGGGTAACCCTCACATAAATAGTAACAAACTACACACGATTCATAAAATTTTTTCAGCTGTAACATCTGAATATTAAGTTATTAAAGTTCCTTCACGAATAATTTATAAACTTTTTATTTTAAATATCATTGATCATACATCAAGGTTGTAATGTAGTCAGTTTTCATGGAGAAGTCATAACTATAAGATTGCACGTAAGACCCTCTTTGTTACGAACATCATTCATAATCAAACAAATTACTCAGGCAGCTTAATATGTACTCCAGTGCTCAGGCAACAACGAACTCTTAAGGTATTGTGACGTTAAGTAAAAAAAGTCCTTTGAAGCGTCGAGACATCTAAGAAAACAGATGGTATGTCAAAAACTAATTCATCAAAATATACAGTTTATAAAAAGTCTCTGTCTAAAAATAAAAAAAACACTGGTAAGAACTAAACTGGATACTTTCTCGTTGTGTACAAAATAGACGAGATTCTAAATATTCAATCTTTAGTCACGTTCGATAAGTCTATTACATGTTATGTGATTTATACTCATTAGACTTTTACATCATCAACATATGGCAACATCAATAAAATTCGTATTTTGATTCAATATAAAAACTTGTGTTTTTTACCATCCAGAAGTTCTTTACGTGGTCACGGAAGATTGCTCAAAGCAGGGCACTACAGTGACAAATAGAAATTTCATAAACAACACCATTTATTATTTATTTGGAGGAATCAAGTACAAGATAGCGTTGGAGAAGAAGATGATAGTATTACTAACAAAACACCAGCTACGGCGATAAATTCCCCACATTTTTTTTTTTTTTTTTAACTAGCGATGGTGACATTCAGTTGCAATTTTAGAAAAATTTTTAAATTTGTATAAAAAGTTAAAGCTTTCGATTAAGTATATTTTCGAATCCATTCAAGAGTTTCTTCATGTTTTTCCAGACGTTTCAAAAATGATGCCGCATAACAACATTAACCTCTAAATTTGTACTTTTTTTCCCAAAAAACTACGTAATTCTTTAAAACTTTTTGGTGCCCAAGAAATACCTTATGTTTACTGCTACCAATAAAAAAATAAAGATGTATCCAGAAGTAGTTAAATATTTAAAAAAGTAGGTGGCCCCTTCTAACCGCTTGGTATACCCCACCTTCCTCTACTAGTTGTGCTCACTACAACAGAGCTTACAGATTCATGTGTATTATTTATAATATCAAACGAATAAAAAAGGTTTCACTTTAATGTGAAACAGCTTGATGTTGATAACAATGATGATGATAGTAAACAGCTGTAAGCAGGTATTGTATTTCAAGAGTAAGATATTTTATAAACCATTTTGTAAATGATGTGTATTTTGCGAATCTAGTTTTCTAAACGTAAATTTTTTTGTCAAGGTGCACGCAAACTCAGCTGGACCCACATAAGCAGCAATGCGGGTGGCGCACGCCAACTTAAGCAGCGAGTACAAAGAAGGGAAGGACCCGCTCACTTACTTGCTGTATGAGGTAATTCAATCTACAATGAGGGACAAGTCATGTGAAAGGGGGCTATTCTAGAACTGCCGTATTCTAGAACCACCACAGCTTATTAACTAGCAAGCATGCATTCTACCCATGTGCAAAATTTTGGCATAGGTGCTGCGGAAAATTTAAGGAATAATACGCTTTTCTTCTGAAGTAGACACAATAAGAAAAGATAAGGTTAGAGCATTGTCTGCAAAATGAGTATATCGATTTAAACACTAATCGCGACATATGAGCCAACGAAGCTTTTGTTCTGCTCTCCATGGAAAGTTGTACATATGATTATAGTCATGACTCTACCTATGTATATTCGGGACTTTATATATGGTGTGTTGATTCTCCATAGTCATTACCCATCTATTCATGATAAACATACAGTATTAAGCACACTTTATTATGAGGATAAAGGTGCTTATTTAATTTTTTTAATGTAATATTTTACCTAAACGCATGACCTAAAGCCCAATGTGTTATGTTGTTTAGGGCACTTGTTTTATAATCGTTTAAGTGCAATAATATTGCTTATGAAAAAAAATTACTTGTCAATCAATAATTTTGCATTATCAGCCAATTCATAAGCTTATATCTTCCCTCTAGTTAAGAGATTAAAACAATCTTGAATAAAGTGATTTGTGTTCTAATAAAAATGTGACTTTTCTTAGCTGGCTAATTTATTAAAACGCATTTAAACTCAAGGAAACATTACTAAGATGTCTATTATTTCACAATCTTTTTGTGACAAGAAGCAATCTTTACTGATTAAAAAAAAAGGAAGAACTGAGTTTTAACAGAGCGTATTATACTAAAGTTTCATGTTATTCTGATTAATGCTTGAATATAACTACTGTTTTGAATTACCTGGTGTCGAGGCCGCCCAACTATCGATGGAAAAACAGCTCTTGGTGCATCATCTCCGGCGAATCCAGCTTTGCACATACCAGATCCATTGTCAACTACGAGTGCCGCAACATCGTCATCACACATGATTAATAAAGTTTGTTTTTACGTTTTTCCTGAAAAACGAATGAAATTGAAGATGAAAATACTATTTATGGCTGAAACAAATTGATAATGTCTATGCAATTACGTTTTAACTTTGTTTTTGAAAAAAAACTACTCTGATACCTCTTGTACATACATTCTAATAAAAAATTATAAATTTAAATGAAACTTTTTAAATGCAGAAGCAGTGTAAATGATCGTGAGACTTAGATTCGAATACATAAGAGTTAAAATTGACATATGTCTAAACGTAATTTTCTAGTTTTTAGTGTTTTTTAAAATGAAATTCCAAGAAACTACATTTTCTTATCTTATAACACTACACAGGACTTAATTCATAGGTTTGTGTATTATTTGATGTGTGCATGTTACAAGTAATTTTTAAGTTTATACAAACTAATGGAATACGGAATATTAAAGAACCAATATCTTTTTTTTTGAGTTGTAGTGCATCCCTCAGTCTGAATGGAGCCCGTAATAGTGGTATGGTTGAATACGAATTTAGTGAAAATAATAAATTAATTGTTTCTAACTTGTTTTTATTTTTGTGGAATATTCTTATGCAAAACATTCATTTTCATGCATGGTATGAATTTTTTTTTTCTAACCTTTTAATTTTGTTTAGAGCAAAAACTGTATAACTCATTGTTTTTATTTTTTACAAATTCTTCATTCACATGTTCTTTTAGAAAAGTACATACAAGCTATACAATAAGCTAAAAATTTTAATTAACGTTTCTACTGTTGCAGCACATTATTTTTGTAATGCACTTTCATTCTAATTATAAAGAAAAAACATTTTTCCGATATCTGAGCTGTACAGTAGTAGTTTCAAATCTTCATATGGAAAAAATATTTCTAAGAGCTATATTGTTCTTAGATTTTTTTACTTATCACTATTCAAAAAAGGGATTTATAGTATTTTTTTTGCCCAAGATAGAAAGAACAACTTGTGCGCCCAAAGAGCGTGGTTGTTGTATGTTTGTGCCCGAGGTGAGAATGAATTTTTTCGTATTGAGAGCACAAAGTGTAACTTTGTGCCCGTAGATGTACTTTCCGCTCGCCAATTATATTCGACTATACAGCGGGATCGAACTTTGAGTCCAGCAAGGCCAGAATGTTGCTTCCCGCATGTGAGCATTACAAATTACCAAGCAAAAAGTGTGCCCTAGGGCGCAAAGCACTGCGCCCAAAGAACAAAATTTTAGTTTTCATTCCTGGTGGCGCATGTCGCCAGGGCAAGTACCAGACCCGAGGCACCTTTGCAGTACGACTCAAGGGACTCCTTGTGCTTGTTCTGCTCAAATTCGCTCGAAATGTGAAACCTATTTTTCTACCGAAGGTAGACCTAGCCTTCAAAAATCGCTGAGTAGGAAAAATAATTTTTGTCGTTTTTCCGACTACTTACTTAAAAAAGTGATCAAAGACTTACTAGTGCTAAAAGAGTATATTTACGAAAAAAAAAAAATAGAACAGTCTTAAAGAATCAAGTAAAGAAACAAGATGGCAAAGATTGTTTTATTCTTGTCAGATGGTCTAGACAATACTCATTTGACAAAAAAAATAACAATAGTTTAAGAATTTTTTAAAACTAGGTTTAGGTTTCGGGACCCCTGACAGATATAGAGCATTAAAGAATATGTTATTGAACTCAGTAGTTTTTGATTGTCTACGATAAATATAGTTGTTTTCATCGGATAAATGTCACTATCTTCAGGGCTATTTTGCAGCCCAAGGGACTTCCAAAGACATTACGAATTTACGAATATGTATTTTAATCAATGAGTACTATAGATTAGGAAAAAGCAAATATTGAATTATGTTTATATTCTTTTTTGTTTAATAATATATAAACAACGAAAACGAAAAAGAACATCAATACACGGCCAAGAGTATCTGTGCTACCTACCCACACATAGGTACATACATTAGTTTAACAGTACGTTCGTGTGTATTACTTTCTGTGTCCCTCTGTCTTTTTTTCGAATACCTGTGCGTAGTTGCGCAAGTGCGCAAATTTCGTTGGCTCATTCTTAAAGCTGGGTTAAGATGGGGTATAAATAAACACAATTGGAAAATCCCGGGAAAACTTTGCATTATGGTCAAATATTAATATTTTAAAATAATCCTGTTCACAAAAAGTGAATTTCTAAAAATAATGGAAAAATAATACTATTTTAAATATTAATTCATAATTTTCTACAAGTGCAAAATATTAAGAAAATCAATGAAAAAGGCTGTCCAGAGAAAGTACAATAAAAATAGAGCTGGCACAACAGCAGACGATCAATGGCTCTCTCTCAATCTCACTTACTTTTGCAGGGACTGCCGAAATGCCTTTTTTATGGGG